CACCAGTTACGGAAAAGGTAACTCTCTTTTATATCAGATTGCAAAAGCAAAAGATGTCCACTGCATGTACTCATTCTTGAGGAAGTCTGCGTTCCCTGATACTCCAGAATTGAAAGTGGAGTTAATGGAAGATATCCCCTAAAGAAGCTGGGGAATGGTGCTGGGGTTCCTAATGACTGGTACAGTGAAGAGAGAAGAACCCCCATCTTTTTTGTCTTTCTGTGTGTCCAGGACAAACAACCCAGTTTAGTGAGATTGAGGGGGCAAAACGCTGTCATAATATGGTCTGGCATGGTTTACTTACTTTCAAATTAAATGAAAGATAATTTTTTTTCAAATACTTATCTAGTATTTTTTATATTCAAAGATCTTAATTACCGTAATTAATCCTCACAGCAACCTTGTGTGAGAGAGAAGTAGGTATGTGAGCCGGTACGAAATCGTGCATCCACTATGGGAAAAGGACTGAGAGGCTTTTTCCATTGGACCATATGAACTGGAACCATAAACTCACTGAACATTAAATCCCACCAAATGAGGGCAGATCTATCCCCATCATCGTATCCACTCATTATACTCCACACCTGAACATAGCCATTATATGGACGACATATCCCCATATCTCAATGTCTGTACTTTGACCAGTTAAACTTTTACCCTCAATCGGGGAGATTGCAGATTATGTATCCCTTACGCCACCCATTCCTAAACCGAATTTCGCACCCCTTGATAATCTGTACCTTATTCCCTGATAACCAGAAACTTCTATGCCTAAACTCTGTACCATTTTCCCTTTACTTCAACATTATCTTAATAAAATTATTCACTAGAATTCAGGAGTTCCTAGCTTCTAGTACTGAGGCATGGCCTGGTGGACTAAAGATCCTATTAGAGCATTCTGTGGAGAGTTAAAAATAGTGATTCATCATAAAAATGAATAGGATAAGAGAACTGGAAGTGGCAGGGATTGGCCTGTATTTGTTCTAACCTTGTATTTAGATTTTTTTGATACCATAGGATATGGTACATTGTTTCTTTAGTGAGTGCCTTCTTCACATCTTGATTTGTTCTTCAAACTGACATTTTTCTAGTTTAAAAAATGCTGAGAGAGATTAAGGGTGCAAGCATCTTCAGCATGTAATAGATTGCATGAAAAATCTAATCAAGGAATAATTTGATGGGGCTTACTTTATGGTATCGGCACTTTCGGTGTACTGAAAACTAATATTCCAGCTTATTAAGTTCAGTAAATGTGCTTTTGAAGCTATTGATTTTTGTTTTGTGCTGCACTATGTTACTTCATCATGTTTGGATAGAAAAGCGATATACTGGATGAATGAAAGACTATAAATTACTGTAAATTTTAGAGAACAGTACACAGTAAGCATCTAAATCTAGGTTTATTCATTAATGAGGGCTACTAACGATGATGCTATCAGAATTCACTAGACAGAAGGTTTCACTGAAGCTGAGGGATTAATATAATTGCTTCACAACAGACAATGTGGCGTCAGCTTCGAACAGTAAGACAAACAAGCAAGGAATTAGAATCTAAAGAACAGCTTTGCTTTATCTGGCTTGTGCTGTGTGAAGCAGACTTTCTTTTCTACCTTTTTAGCTGCTCTAACTAAATGTATTATGTATTGATCACTAGTGAGACAGTTAACTGGTAGTATTCGCACAGTCTAGCATAGCATTTCATTGCATGAAATAAAATAACTTTGAGATTTAAAAATACATTCCTTGTCCTCAAAAATTTGTATTTTATTCATTAGTTGAAGAGATTGTTGAAGTTACTTTGGATAGCCATCTTCAAGTCTTTCCTCTCATTTTTCCCCCAATGCTGTTCTCCAAAGTTGGCCGTGGTGGTATGCTGCTACAATTAGAAACCCAATGCAGAGTTTTATGTTGGAAAAAGTGCAGTAGGCTATATCCAGCCATTCTTTATCACATGCCTCTCTCTGAAGACCATGAAGGTCTGGCATAAAAATCAATGACAGGATATGGCCTACTAGTAATAGCTGGAGGCTGCAAAAGAACATAGTCCTAGGGCGTATATTTTTATCATAATGAGGGAAGATTTGTGTGTGAAGTTGCCCATGCATCACGAGCTATCAAAAGGATTTTGGTTTTCAGATGTTTCCAGGGCAGTGTAATGAAATAACAAATAAGAAACAGTTGGGAAGGAAAAGTAGTATTGGCAAAACTACCTGTTTTTGCCTCAATGTATTCTTTGAAATGACTAAACCATTTTTGCTGAAACTAAAATAAACAAACATATATAAGATCAGCCTGAGGAAGGAAGCAAACATGGAAAATTTTAGCCAGAACAGTTAGTCTGGCTAAGTTATAAACACCTGAAAATTGGGACTTACAGTTGAAAATGCTAGACAACTTTAATTATAGGTTTTGCTACCAGGCTTACCTATAATTTTTTGGGGTTAGATTTAGGGTTGTCAAGTGTCCGTTTTCGACCAGAAAGTCCAGTCAAAAAAGGAACCTGGCAGAGTCCAGTTAGCACTGCTGACTGGACACTAGAAGTCTGGTTACTTGCAGTAACTGGCCTCTGCCACAGGGGGTGGTGGGTGGGAAGAGCAGCAGCTGCTGCTGGAGTCTGGAGGAGCATTCAGGAACGGCTCCAGTGGAGAGAGGTACCCACAGCTCCCCCACCCCCAAACCCTGGATTGCCGGTCCCCCCTCCCCCACCCCCAGACTGTGGCTCCCCCCCTCCCCCGTCCTGCCCCAGTTACCCACCCCACCCCTGGAGTGCGGTTTCCCCTCTCTTGTCCTGCCCCAGTTACTCCCCACCCCTACAGCCCTGATCAGCTGGCAGGGGAAGAGAGCAGCAAGCGATGGGGGCAGGGGAGGAGCGGGGGGCACAGCCTCAATGGAAAGAGGTGGAGCAGGAGGTGGGAGAGGTTCTGGGCACTCATTGTCCAGTTTTCACACAGTAGAAAGTTGGCCATCCTTGTCAGATTGTGAAAAGAGAGGAGAGTTCAGCTTTCAAATGAAGACCAAATTCTACTAAGAGTCTGACGATATAATGGATGATATAATAGTGTAAAATTGATTGAGGTCAGAACTAAATCATGATGATCTGGCTCTTTTGTCCTTAATAAAATTTGCATGTAATTTTATATTACCATGTAGAATCAGAAAGGTACTTTCTTTAATTACATTAAACAAGTAAAACCATTCAAGTGCATTTATATGAAGATATCAGAATTAAACCCAGACTTGCACAGTCTATTTTGCTTTGTCTGTTACATATTTTACAGCATGTACTGTACATTGTTGTAGAGCAGTTGATAGACTGAACATGTTCCTTCCATTAATCCTTTGCCTTCCTACATGTTTTTGGTGTCAGTGTTGACACAATTATTTATGGCCCTCTGGTACAGTATTATATTAATACTAAACATAAATAAAGTTTTCATTTACTGCATATTGATTGGTTCAGTCCAAATATAAAACAAAGTCTATAGCCATTGATTGGTGATTTTTTAAAGCACTTTGTAGCTTAAATTTTTTAAATGTAAAACATAAAGAAAAGAGTAAAGACTAATTCAGCAGTAGCCATTATAAATATATTTTGAATAAATTGTTTGGAGAAGAAACAATCACATAAGAAAATATATATAGAAAAAGTAACAAATTTAATTGTGGTAATTTAGTTCAGATCAGTCTGGTTACTTTACAGATGTTCATTCTACTCTGATTCAGCAATTATTTCGTGTCACTTCATATATAAAAAAGGTAAGAATGTAAGCTCCCTCAGACGGGAAAAAAGGTGTCTTTTCAGACAGCTTTTATTTTGGCACAACCACTATATATATTCTATTTTAAATATATAAATCTGAAAACGCACATTTTATGAAATATCTTCATCATTTACATTTTTAAGAAAGTTAATAAATGTTTATACACTTATGTAAAAAGAAAAGGAGGACTTGTGGCACCTTAGAGACTAACAAATTTATTTGAGCATAAGCTACAGCTCACTTCATCAGATGCATACAGTGGAAAATACAGTGGGGAGATTTATATACACAGAGAACATGAAACAATGGGTGTTACCAGACACACTGTAACGAGAATGATCAGGTAAGGTGAGCTATTACCAGCAGGATACATACTCTTATGTGTGATCCAATGATTTCACTGTTTTTTCTATAATAGGTGCAGCTTCCTTTTGAACAGATATTTTTATGTTGTTAGCTCAATATGAAAGTATTTTGCTAATGTTTTGGAAAATCTTCCTTAAAATGTTTTGAGTCCATAATCCAAGTAGCAGTGTAAACACAGGTTTCAGAGTAACAGCCATGTTAGTCTGTATTCGCAAAAAGAAAAGGAGTACTTGTGGCACCTTAGAGACTAACCAATTTATTTGAGCATAAACTTTCATGAGCTACAGCTCACTTCATCGGATGCATACTGTGGAAAGTGTAGAAGATCTTTTTATACACTTGCTTTGTGTGTATAAAAAGATCTTGTACACTTTCCACAGTATGCATCCGATGAAGTGAGCTGTAGCTCACGAAAGCTTATGCTCAGTGTAAACACAGTAATTTTCTAGATTTACAATGAGTTGTTTGGCATAAAAGGTTGGTTTCCTTCAGTACCTGTTTTCTAGAACTACCATTTCATCCCCATTTATCATCATTTCCACTGGAGACTAGGTACTTGAGCAACAGTCAATGGAGGGAAGAATGAAGAAGCTGCTCTTTAAAGCCCTGAGGATGAGTGGGTTAGATAAGCTTGAGGTGAACAAGGCTGAGATAAATAGTGTATGTACATCAGTGGCAACTGAAAGGAGATTTTTAATTTAAAACAAAGCCTTTGAAATGTCCTCAATGTAGTGGTGGGTTTCTAACTTTGCTCATCTCATGTTACAATACTGTAAATGCTAATTCTGTACTGTCAGCTTGAATACTGAATACTACAGAAATGTGTTGTTATAACTGACAGATTAATACTTCGTTGTCTACCTGCACTTTTAGGCTCAGAAAAATGAGAGAGAATCTATCAGGCAGAAATTGGCACTTGGAAGTTTCTTTGATGATGGCCCAGGAATTTATACCAGCTGTAGCAAAAGTGGCAAGCCAAGCCTTTCTTCTCGGTAAGTAAAATGGCATAGTGAGCATTCCTAATGTTTATGGATTTCATGTGGTATAGCATCAGAGTGAATTTAAAGGTGAATATGTGGGGGAGAGGGTAAAAGCTAATATGAGGCTTTGGGTAGTGTATTATATCTTTAGTATGAAGTCCTTTGAGAAACTCATTAGAATATTGAGGGAGGCCCTGATGTTTGTAGGCTCCATTTTTCTCTTCTAGTTGCCTCCCTAGATTTTTAGTGGCAACCATACCTTTTAAATGGTCCTCGTTTTAGATCCTAGGTTCCACACAAATTTGTATCTGTCATGTCAGTTTGTTGTGAATAATTTACAAAAAAAAAAATGAACAATCTTGGGACTGAGGTTATAGAACATTGGCTGCAGATGGAGTTGGTGGCCTATCCCATAATTTATCACTAGAATTCTATGACAAATGCCTCTCTCTTGCCTGTTGTGCTGACAGAGATATTACAGTTGCAAAGGGGTTTACACAGAGCTGAATTCTTCTACCATAAAGTGTTCGGCTATATGGCAACGGGGAACAGAACTTTCAACTCATTCTTGCAAAATCCCTGAAGACCTTCAAATCTCCCTGACTCCAGTGGGATCGGGTACACTCAGCACCTTGCAGGATCAAGTTGCTGATTAGCTATGAAAACATAGCGGAATAGAGATAGAATGACCTGTTGTTTGTCATATAGGCAAACAATATTCTGGTGTTAATTCAAAAGCTGATCTGACCTATCCGTTTGCTGCTGCTGCTACTGAACATACCCAAAATAAAATCATCAACACGAGCAAATGTCGCAATTAGCCCCATTAATAGCATGGCTCTGGACAATGGGCATATTGCAGCTCTTCCCTCTTCTCCTCCCTTCCACCCCCTCCCCCTTGCTAAATGTGAATAACGCTATCTGCCTGAAGGTGTGCAAGAAGTTGGCAATAGAGATAATATTATTACAGCATAGTTCCAGCTAGGTATGTGTGTTCTCAAAAACAGTACCTGATTTGTCTTGGTTTGTGCCTGTCATTAGAAAACTAGACAGTGAAAGAAATATATTGCATTGGTTAATCTGTTTGGATGTACTGTTGTTTAGTAGATATTTTGTATATGAGGAGTTAAACGTAAGGAAAACACATGAATGCTTCCAGATCTGGGATTGAAGTAGGCGTGATCCAAAAGAGGAAGCCAGGGAATTTGGTCAGGACTTGCAAAAAGATAGGGTTGCAGAAATAAGTAGTCCTGTTCTTTTTTTTTCCTCTTTCTTTTTTAAACTAAACTATGCATTTGATGTATAAGAATTTAGTTACAAATTATTCCCACATAAAGATATTCTTCTTGGCCATATATCAGTATGTATGGTATGTAAAATAATGATACATTCCATACTAACTTGGGAAAGTTTTCTGTTTTTTCTTAGTAAATTATTCAAAACACCCATTAAGAATATAATATAATATGTTTATACCGTATTTGTTTCAAATCAGAAAGCATACTTTTAGGAACATTCTCAGCAGAAAATAAGAAATCTCAGTTATATTTTCTGATTTTTCTAATATTTAAAGAAAGCAACAATATGAACCTTCCTGTGTCTTCTCTGTTGTAAAACTCTGTCCTAAAGTTAATAAGATAAATTTTTTGCTCCTCCTGTGCCCCAACCACGAAAGTTCCAGAAGGCTCATTATTCTCTCTCCCTTGAATATCTTATAAGGTCATTCAGAGATCATGAAATGTCACATTCTCATGTGCTACCCATATGTGGATGAAACTCAACTCTTGTGCTGCCAGCTTAACTACTAGGCTTTTTCTGTCATCAAAGTGTCCAATGCCTGGATAAAATGACCAGATTTGGCGGTTAGTCTGAGAAGCAGTGTTGTGATAGTTGGAAGGGGAAATACATCCAGGAAATTGCCAATATGCTAATCTCACCAGCTGTCCAGGGTGTCATCAATTTGATATGCAGTCTTGAAATCATGCTGAAGTCACTACTCCTGAAGATGATGTTAGCATCTTCTGTTAGCCAGGACAGTCTACCTCCATTTTGTCTCTGGCTAGAGTCAAGCCATGGTGATCCACACTTTCATCTCCTCTAGGTTAGATTTATCCAGCTCATTCAACCTGGAACTAAACACAGCCACCACCAGAAGGCTTAAGCTGGTGCAACTCTCAGCAGTGCACTTCATGAGCAACAAAGGATGATGTGGACACATGACATGCAAGCAACAAATGCATAGCAAATGTTCTGCAGACTACAGGTTCCCCTTACACATAAGTATTCAAAGTCCTGCTCCTAATCTACAGAGTCCTTAATGAACTGGAATCTGGCTGCTACAGTGTTTACTTCACCCTCCAAGACAATGATATTTCACAGAGCCATACAGTTGGAGAGACCCAGTTTTTAACTTTCAGGTGCTCTGGTCAGTGTGTTTTCACTATGGCTCTCCATGATAGAGGAGCTCAGATGACCACTTTTTGATCATCCAGTGATGTCCCTTTTGTCTTCTCCAATGTATAGCATGTGCATGGAACAGCCTGCTGTGACCCCATGGTGCACCCAGACTTCATCAAACTCCTCCAAAAGACCCACCAATGTAAAATATATATATACGTATATTAGCTGGAGGTATAAAATGATCTTTTAAATAAAGCTCTTCTTCATGAGTTACCTGTAATTTTTTTAAAATAATTTTAAACCCAAAGGGAACAGAGAGAGAATCCCATGGGCCATATTCTCCAGAGAAGTGCAGCTGATTTCACCATGCCCCCAGTGTTAACTAGCTCTAGTGCTGGTTTAATTGGCCCTGGAGGGATATCTGCAATGTAAGGGGATTTACCCAGCAGTGCAGAGCCAGTATAGCAGCTCATGTGTCACTCTCATTTCAGTCTCCCCCGGTTACACACATATCAGGGGGAGGAGGGCATGGGCAGAGCAGAGAGAGAGGCAAATATGCCTCTGCATTGTCTTGGCATCCTAGATCCGTTTACAGCTGGCATAAGTTAGAGCAGCCATCTGTCTGTTCTGCCTTAGTTAAGGGGAATGTATAGAGTGAAAAGATAAGCTTTAAGGCACCTTTAGCTTGCACTATGTGCAGACATCTACCGTATCTGCGGATCTGGCTCTATCTGTTCTCATACTTCACTATCATGTTGTTCAATGTTTATACCAAAATGACAGTCCCATTATACAAACCTACAATAGGTTTCAAAATAGTCCAGAGATGTGTGTTTACCCAGATAGTGGTGAACCAGTTGTTCTCCATAACAGCTAACCTCATTTGGGAAGTTTCTGAATGGACTCTCATGTTTAGTGTAGAGCTGGACATGTTTCCAGGGTGTGGCAAGAGACCAAATTAGAGAGATGGACAAAAGCAGGAGAGAATTAACCATTATTTGAGAGAGGCTACAATTATAAAAATCAAGCTTAACTTCAAATAAATTGAAAAGAAAAACAATTTGACTTTGTTTAGTAACTACTTTCCTTTAAAGCGAAGCCAGTAACCTCTATCTTCTAATTATGCAGCAGGTCTAATTAACAGTGTGCAAGCAGAATTTGACAGATGTACCAAGTGAAATTACTAGATGCTTCTGAATTTTGTTAATATTTATACATCGGTCAGAACTTTAAAACACAGTGGTTGTTATTTCGGGGGTGGAGGAACCTTCATAGGAGTGCTTTCGTATTGAAAAAGGATACGTTATGTAGAAAACAAAAACATAATAAAAGCCCTTTACTATTTGGATAGTGAATATAGCACAACATGTGTCCAGCTTTTATATGCCCCCACCCTTTATTCAATCAACATTTGTGTGCAAGGTGCATTGTTTGCATATATGAAAAACTGATTTGGAAAAAGAAATTGGATATTCCAGTGAGCAGTTATATAATAAGACCCCCACCATTCTTTTTGTGATTCGTGTATCTCAAACTCTGTAGTTTCAGAACATTTTTACAGAAGTTATGAATCCCTCCAAAAAATTATTCTGGGCTGGCAACGTGGAATACATATTCTTTCCTCTTTAGTACCCTAAAGAGGAAAGAATCCAGCTCAGGTTGTTAGTGACCAGAAGATGATTTTATTTCTTTTTAATGACCTTTGTCAAATGAGTTAGTTCCTATTGAACAGCTGTCCATATGGCAAAAACTACCACTTGCAATTAGCACCAACTGGCAGTCTTCCTTGCAGTCTTAGCAGACGGACCAAGTATTGAATGGATATGGAGACTGACTTTTACCTCTTGAGATGGTCCCTCCACATCTGGATTTAGACATATTTACAGAGTCATATAGGGACGTTTGCACCACTGCTGCTCACACTGTACCTGTTCTAAGAACGAATATAGGAATGAATTGCCTGGGCAGCTAATCTGGCATCTTTCAAAGGTGTGACATTCTCAAACAAAACTGCAAAACAAAAAATGCAGATTATGAAAGTTGTCTGTTAGCTGCAAACAAACAAAAAAACCTTCCTGTGCCTAGAAATTCTGCACATGTTCATGTTACAGAGGCCCTGCTGTTTCACTCACTCGCTAGTGTCTTAAGCTAAGACCGTGGTCCTACAAACACTTACAGGCATGATTAACTATTATTGTAAATAGTCACATTGATATCTGTCATGGTAGTAAAGCTACATGCATGTGTAGATGTTTGCAGGATTAGGGTCTAAGACTGCAAGCTCTTGGGTCAGGGACTGTCCTCTCTCTCTCTCTCTCTCTCGTGCCTAGATCACTGGGACCCTAGTCTGGCTGGGGCCTCCGGGCACTACTGTAGTACAAATAATGCATAATAATAGTGTGGTGGATACATTACTGTTCACTATGAAATATATTCTAAGAATGTTACAGTTGTGGCAGAAAATAATGAAAATGACAGTATTGCTGTTGAAGGCTGAACTCCCATTGTGGAGTGCAGTGAGGTGCATTTCATTACTGATTTTTTTGTTTTTGCTAGCTATTGTCATAACACAAATGTGCATTCAGTGTACAGTAACTCCTTGCTTAACGTTG